TAGACTTATTAACCATGTCCTGTAGTTTTAAAGGTCTAAGGAAAATGCCAGTTTTCTCCTCACTGCTGAGAGGGGGAAAATCAGAACAGGTAATGATTGTTGGTCACATGTGTTAGCAGTTTCCCACAGTCAAATTGTCTTCCCTAAGGATAGGAAAGAGAATAAAATGCCTTAAGTGACTAGCCAGGAGGTACCTGGGCTTCCTGAAGTGCTCAGATTGTAAGAGCAGAAGAAAATAGACTAGAGGGAAGGAGAGTGGACCGTTCTTGGCTCGAGCTTTGCTGTTTTTGCTTGAGAGTTTTCAGGCTGTGTTTGTTAGTGGGGTGTAGAAAAATTGGGAAACCAGATTCTTCAGCCATTAGGTAGAAAGATGGCTTCAGAATTGGGTCCCTAAGTTCATTTAGACTGTTCTGTGGTAGGCCTCATTCGTTCCCATATGTATTTGTTGTTAATGTGTTTTCCTGACACTTTCTTATATTTGTGAAGTCTATTGAGATTTTACAAATTTCAGTAGTTGGGAGTGCTAATTCAGTGCCTTTGCAAGATACTCTGATTCTAATTCCCGGTGGATATGTTAAGATTCTGTTTCCAGTGTCTTAATGGATAGAAAAGGCTTGAGCTGGCTAAGTGTGACCCTCTGGGCATCAGAGTGACTGGGCTCCTTTGCCTCCTTGATGCTGTTGTGGTCTCTCTGGTGATGGTTCCAAGTTCAAGCTCTGCCATCTCTGGCTTTGGCTATAGGCTTGACTAATTTTTTATCATTGTCTGACTCATGCAAATGTTTTTGTTAAGTCCAATTTGGGTCTATTTTAACCTTTGTTTCTAGTTTCTTTATAGCTCTTAACTCTTTAGGACTTGGGTTTATTTTTCTTTTAGTATTGGAGTAAAGGGCTAGACCCACTGGGGAAGCCAGTTAGCTGGTGGGCCTGCAGCTGAATTTTTTAGTCAGGCTTGCTTTGTTTATCAGGTGAGGATGCCCTGCTCAGATGGAGGGAGATGCTTGAAGTGAGGCACCACTTTTCTGTTCACCTCAGGTTTCATTCTTCCCAATTACTGATGTGACAGCTCTTGTAGAGACATCCAGAATCTTCTAAATTTGCCTTTCCTTGAGCAGTTTTAAAATGTCCTCCATTTGGCTTCAACATTAGCTTCTTTCTTGTATAAATGATTCCTTATTCATTTGTGAAACTAACAAAATCTACAATTGCATGGTGCTTTAGAATATGGTGAGCTGCTCTTACTTGAGGGATTTTAATTTACACCTTAGGATTATCACAGTCATCCTGTGTCTTGGAGGAGGTTATTTTCTCTACACTATGGAAGGGAGGTGATATCGCCTGGCAATTAGGAATGTGGGTGCTAGGTAAGGCTAGTGGAGTTTGCATTTGAGCTTCAGTAACTCCCAGCATACTCTTCCCTAATAAACTACTCAGTTTCCTCATCTGCAAAATGGAGAGTTGTCTATTTTATAGGAGTCTGGGAAATAAATCATTCAGACAAAGCCATTGGAGCAGTCCTTAGCATGTAGTAAGTGCTCACTAGATCATCTGTTACTAATGCTAATGTTGTTGTTAATAGCATATGAAGAAATGGACCCTGGAAAAAGTGAAATAGCTTACCTAAGGTCACACAGCCAGCAGGCAGGAGAGTCTGGCTTGACCTGAGGTTAGGAGGCTTCAGGTATTGGGTTCTTTCCACTGTATTTAATTCATGTACCCTAGGGTTCCATCAGCGAGGTTAGCTTTATTTTATATTTCAACTTGTTTCTTCATTTTCTTTGTTTTCTCTCTGCTTAGAGCTGGTGACTATTGTCTTCCCTCTCAGAATTTATCAGAAGAAGCAGAAGAAGTGTATGGATGGCCCCTGCCCTGAGAGTAGCCTCCTTGACACAAAGGGACCCTCTGAATTCTGCTCACTTAGATAATTTTGGAGAATGCTCATCTTATTTCTATTTAAGTATATTTAAATGGCATATTTTAAGAGCTTTTACAGTTTTATTTTTAAATCATGTTATTTATTTATTGTGTGTGTGTGTGTGTATGTGTGTGTGTGTGTATGTATGTATGCTTGTGTGTGCATGAGTGGAGGTCAGAAGAAAATGTACAGGAGTCAGTCCTCGCCTCCCACCAGGTGAGTCCAAGGAATCTAACTCAGATGGTCAAGCTTGGTGGCAGGTGCCTTTACTAGAGAGCCATCCCTTTGAGGTAGTTCAAAAATGGATTACATTATCCCTCCTTGGGGAAATCACTGAAGTATGGAAGGAGCATTGGCTAGGGCCTGACAGATGGCGTTCAGGTCCTGGCTTCCCGCTTCTGGTATGTGTCTCAGAATCCTCCACTGTATGATGGACTAGGCAGAGGTTTGAAGGCGATTCTTTGCAAACTTGGCTTATAGCTGTCACTCAGTAAATGTGGCTAGTACTATATCGAGGAGGTAGCCCCAGGTCACAGTGAGGTGGGCACCTACGCCTCTTAATTCCTCATTCATTGCCATGTGCACTACTTCATCTGGGTATGTTGTTTCTCTGTGTTTTAAAGTGCAAGTGTTTTGACCTTTCAGTTAGTAATTTATTTTTAATGTGTCTATTATGGACAGGCCACTGGCTGTGGGTATCATCAGGTCATGTGCAGTGCCTTGGATGCCAAAGTTCCAGGTTTATTTCATGTCACAAGACAAAGTTAATGTTAGTGAAGCCACATGACCCACAAGAAATATGACACTTGTCAAATCTGTCAGATAGCGTTTGGGCAACTATTCTCAGAAAAGGAAAGCAGCAGGTGTTTATTGAGTTTTTAGTACATGCTTGGCATTGTGTGAGGCAGGGAACCCTAAAAACGCCACACTTTCTGTCTCACAGGATTCAAAGTTTTCTGGGAGAAAAGAGATGCACTAGAAACATGATACAATTAAAGAACAGTAATATTCACCATGCTCTAGCTTACATTAGTTAGGTGGGCCCTGGTGTAGGTGCTACATGGACTCCCATAGTCTGGCAGATAGAGACTAGTAAGCCCTCACTTAAAGCATGGCTCAAAACATACTAGAACTGTAAATGGGGAGAGCAGAGAGGAATGGTGTGGCATATGTGGATTTGGGGAATTCTACGGGGAGGTGGTATTTGAGTTGCTTTCCAGTAGAGATGGAAGGGTCGTAAGGAGGATAGAAACTCACTGACAGGTGAGACATCCTGGGAGTCAGGAAGAGAAGCATGTGCTCAGTGTTCTTGTGACTGGACCAGAAACTTTATAGGAGCAATGTTGGGAGAAAGGGTTGGAGAAATGAGCAAAGGGTTAATTCATTGAAGAATTTGTATACCGTGCTGAGAAGAAGCTGTTGTAAACAAGCAGGCAGGATGTGACTACTGTACATCAGTGCTTCAGAACGATTATTCTGGACAGCCAATCAAACAAGTGAGAAGTAAAGTCTTGAATTAAATCTTGGAAGTATGAACGAATAATTGAACAGCAATGTGAGTAGCTAGACAACACCGTAGGTGTCACCAGACACTACAGAGGGCATAGTATCTGAGGAAAGCCCAAGATGGAGGAAGATTTGAGTGGTCAACTTGCCCATGTGTGTGGCCAATGATTTGTATACTGAGTGACGTGGGATTTATATAGGAGACAGGACGCAGCACAGGTGGTATAAAGTATGTATGAGATGGTCAGGAAGACATGTCTACTTGGTGAAGAAAGGTAAGTCATCCAGTTTCATGTCAAGTTGGCTTCAGAGTTTAGAAGGCTTTGGAATGCCAAGTTGAGGAGTTTGAACTTTATTTATTATTTGTTATTTTTTATTTTATGTGTATGAATGTTTTGTCTGCATGTATGCAAGTGCACCTCTGTTGTGCAATGCCTGTGGAGGTCAGAAGAAAGCATCACATTCCCTGGAACTGGAGTTACAGACAGTTGTTAGCTACCATGTGGGTGCTGTGAACTGAACCTGGGTCCTCTACAAGAGCAGCCAGTGCTCTTAATGGCTGAGCCATCTCTCCATCCCCTGAACTTACTTTATTAATCAATGGGATGCCACTAATGATTTTTTTAACATTTTCAGTATAGATTAGAACTATGTGAATCTACTGGGTTTCTTCATCATGGTTGGAAAAAGATGTATTTGGTGAAAGCTCTGTTCTTATACTTAACGAACATGTCGGAGAGGATCACAGCATTATTTTTGGATTGGAAACTCTGACCCTGCTTTGACCCCACTTTGACTTTGGAAGTACTGGAATAGTACAGAGTACAGACAAAGGCAGCTGAGTGAGTGCTCAGAGGAGAGAGTTGGGGTAAACCAAAAGACGGGAGAAGCTGCTTGCCCAGTGGACTCTCTGAGGGATAGAAAAGCCAGCATGTACATTATATTCTTCTCCATTCCCATCGTAGATTTGTTAGTTGATCTTGGTATGTGTGCTGGATAGCTTTAGTGTCAACTTGACACACCTGGGTTGAGGGAGCCTCAATTGGGGAATTTCCTCCATAGGACTGGCCTTTGGCCATGTCTGTGGGGCATCTTCTGATTGTTGAATGATGTGGGAGGGCCCAGTCCATTGTGGGTGGTGCCACCCCTGGGCAGGTGGGCCTGTGTTGCATAAGAAAACAGGTTGAGTGAGGGGTGGGCAGGAGTGCAAGCCAGTAAGCAGCATTCTTCCATGGCCTGTCCTCCGGGTTCCTGCCCTGAGTTCCTACCTTGGGCTCCCTGATGATCTATGACCTGGGAGATGTAAGACAAACCCTTTCCTCCCCAAGTTGGTAGTGGTCAGAGTGTTTTGTCACAGCAGTGGAGAGACAAACTAGGACAGTATGTTTTTCTACTGGAGTCACTGGTAGTCTGGAACCCTCATGCAGAGTTATCATGTAATTGATCAGAACTGGTGGTGGAATTCAAACCCGCTTGACATATCTAGGATGAGAAATGGATGAGAAACCTGTTTGACATATCTGGGATGAGAAATAGGTTATTACCATACTTATAATACAAATGGATGTTTGCTTTTCCAGGTAGAACTTGCAGAAATCTGTGCCAAGAGCGAGCGGTATATAGGCACTGAAGGAGGGGGCATGGACCAGTCCATATCATTTCTTGCTGAAGAAGGGACTGTAAGTTGCATTGAGCTATTTGGAAATATCAGCTTGGGAACATTTCCGTGGACAGGAAGGCCTTGAAGACTCCAGCATATTTGGCCGTGGGCAGTCTATTCTTGTAGGCTCTATTGTAGGTCATTGCTCAACTGCTTTGTAACTGAACACTACTGGTAGCAAATGTAGTCTGTTTCACATTGAGTCTCTCTACCTCAAGCATCCAGAATTACATTTCAGACTTACTTTTCTCATGTGTCTGAATTTCTTTTCCAGACCTTGTTGTTAGGATGAGATTCCTCCATTCCCTTCGTGGGCCTCCTTTCCTGACCGGCAGGAAATCACTTCATCTCGTGGCGTTTCATAATCTCACACTGACTTTAAACCCAAATGTTAGTTCTCTTACCACACATACAACCCTTCTTTTTGTAAATTACCCTTTGGTATCATTTTTCTCTGTCAACATTTTTAGGGCTTTGGTGGTGGGAGGAGGAATGTTGACGGTAAGCCAGGAATAAATTCTTCAGTCAAATACCACTTCCTCTTGGCTATCAGCTCCTTGAAGCAAGGCAGAGGTTTGGGATTTTGCCTGTAAACTGCCCATTTCCAAAATAGAAGCAGGGATTTCTCTAAGATCTTTCGTAGCCTTGCATCAAATTCCTACAGGCTTGGCTTTTTTCCAGGAACACCTGGACTCCTTATTGAGACTGTTTAGTTGTTGTTGATTCCTCTAAGCCTCATAACCAAGCTATGAGAAAATTTGGTTGAACATGAAAAATATACTTTAGGTGTTTTGTATAAGACCCGACAAACTGATGAGGTGGCATGAGTCCTGTTGTTAATACATTAGGTACAGGATCGGAATGGAGCCCAGGTCTCTGGACTTACAGAGTGCATCACCACCCAGCTGCTTCTTTCCCTATCCTAACCTCCCACTCTGCAAGCTCTAGCTCAGCCAGATTTCAGTGCTCAAAGCTCCATCCACACCAGCGTTGTGTGCTGCCTCTACACATGTTCAGAAGTTCTTTCTTTACTTTGATATCTTTGCACATCCTTTAACGTTAAGTGTAGATTTCCTTTTTTCAAAGGAGGCTCAGGCCCTTCCACTAAGTATCTGCCTAGGATCTTGTGCTTCACTACCATTGTGACCCTTACAACTTGGAAATATACCCTTAAATCTGCTTGCTTGTCTTCCCCCAGCAATTGTAGGCTCTATGAGGCCAGAGAAAGTGCCTCACTTTTCTTTTTTTAAAAAAAAAATATTTATTTTATGTTTATGAGTGTATTGCCTGCATGTATTTAAGTGCACACATGTTGTACAATGCCCACGGACGTCAGAAGAGAGTGTTGGATCCACTGGAACTGAAGTTATAGACAGTTGTTAGCCACCATGTGGGTGCTGGGATTGAACCCAGGTCCTCAGCAAGAGCAGCCAGTGCTCTTAACCACGGAGGCATCGCTCAAGTCCCACTTTTTTCTTATTTACCCTCGTATTATTCTTATCCTACACTGTCTCCAGTGCCCAGTACAGGGCCTGGAGATCAATAAATATGAACGAGCATTTTTCGAGAAGATTTCATTAAGGTAAAATAAATGCATAAATGCTTAAACATTTTCTGAATCCTAATAAATTCTTGTCTTGCCTGTCATTTTTCTTCCAATAGGCAAAGTTAATAGAATTTAGTCCCCTGAGAGCAACTGATGTGAAACTTCCCAGTGAAGCAGTTTTTGTGATTGCCCATAGCTGTGTGGAGATGAACAAGGCAGCAACTTCCCATTTCAACATCAGGGTGATGGAGTGTCGGCTGGCTGCAAAGGTATGAATGGAGCCAGTAGTGAAACATGCCATGTGCCTGTCCTTGTCCCTTGTTTATTCTCTGTTAACATGTGGCTCTCTGCATTTTAGAGCAACGTTCTGACTACAGCAGCATTCTAACTGAGAATCTTTGGGTACAGAGCAATCTGATTCCAAAGAGATAAACCAACCAGTGTGCCTTCTGTTCCCCACTAGCTCCTTAAAAATTGTATGAGCTTCATAACTGAGTCTACTGGGGTGATACTGAGAGAAAAACAATAGAAGATATCTGACACACAGGCCAAAATAGAAGCAAGCATTTGTTTAGGATCAAATAGATGTGAGTTCCTTCTATAGGTGAAGAAAGGCAGCTGATCTTGTTTCCTCAACAGAACTCTTGGCATCCTTGCCCATCCTCATCCTCTCAGACACTTCATTTTCATATTGGGCTATCACAGATACAAGCTGGACATGATGGTCCATGCCTTTAAGTCCAGCACTCGGGAGGCAGAGGCAGGCAGATCTCTGAGATTCAGGCCAGCTGGGGCTAAAAGGAGACCCTGTCTCAAAAAGACAAAACAAAACCAAAACAAAACAAACCAAAACAAAACAGATGTGCTGCAACGCCCTTGAAGACTTCTTTCTGTCTACTAGGAAACACCTACCAGGAGGGAGGCTTGGCAGTTCTCTGTCCCACAGTTTAGAAACCTTTGACAGTCAAGCTGTAAATTCATTTAGAAGTATTTTCAGAGTCACTGTTGGACACTTTATAGCAAATGAATCAAGTGTTTCCGTACACAGGAGCAGAGAGTAGAGAGCTAAAATCCAGATACCAAATAGAAAGCAGGAGCATGTAATCAGGTAGTAAGCAATCCTTCTTACAGAGGAAATGTAGAAATGACTGCTATGGAGCATCCAGAATAACACATGGCATGATAGGTCGTTGCAGGCTGGGTGTCAGAGGCTGAATTCCTGGTCAGGAGCTCCTCTGTACTCCCTTCTATGCTTCCTCTGTTCATCTCACTCCCCTTCACACTTCAAGTTCCATCCCTATCCTGATGAATTCCTGTGAGCATCCTCCACGCAGGCCATCTTGGCTGAGCTGCAAACATATGCATTCAGTATCTTATCGAAGATCCTTATCCTAGTGAATCATAGACCTTGTGAATCAGCTTGTTCAAACTGAGCTCAGTGCTCTTGCAAGCCTTTTATTTTTCCACTGGTTAGATCCTGATGTATCAACTCTGTACTGTTCTTTCAATCCGTCTTTGTTTTCCTTCCTTTCATTCTACTGGATGATGGCTTAGAAATTTAAATCTGATCAAGATCCTCCCCTTTTTACTACCTTTCAAAAGTTTCCTATTTAATTGGAGGGGTCTTATTATAGTGGACTGAGTGACCATTGGCAGGGAAGGACCTGGCTGGCAATGATGAATTCGCCCTTTTAATCAATGAGAAAAGCAATTTGTTAACTATTCTGTAAGCGTAATAGCAGCGGACTAGGCAGTACCTGGCGTACCACCTACAGCATAGGGCTAGACTCTTGGGGATGGGCTTCCTCTATTTAGAAGTACTTGTTCAGATAGAGTAAGTTTCTTTGCAAACAGTTTCTTGGCCTATAATTCAGGGCACTCAAAGGAGGCTGGTTAGTGTGGGAGGTTAGCGTGAGTTGCTGCCATATAATTTCCAGTTGTGCAACCTCTGCCGTGCAAGGAAGGGCAGTACTGGATGATCGTAGTTCAGTCCTGGTCAAAGGCTCAGGTCACAGGGCTCCAGGCAGAAGTTCTATTGTGTTCTTGGACCATGCTGGTGAAAATTCTCAAATTTCTGATCTCTTATTAATGGTCTTCCCTCCATACTTATCACTGTCTGAAGAACTGTGAGGCCCAAGGCCTATGTGTCTTACTGCCATCTTCTAGCATAGCATTCCCTGTAGTCATCATAGTACAGGCAGAGGGTTGGTCTCATCTGAGGAACGTGGCACATGTCCAGGATACTTTTTCCAGCCTTCTGTGACCCTCGAAGAAGACTTGTTCTACTTCCTTAGTCCTAGGCTAAGCAGGAACCCCTTTGTATTTTGTAGCACGTATGTTCTAGCTGTGGTGCATATCACAAGTATTTGCTTAGTGTCTGTCTCTTCTTTCGCATTCAGCTTCACTGAGAAAGGAACTGTGTTAACTTGTTAATTCTTGATGTGGTGCTTCAGCAGATGTGGGCTCGGGGTGGACATATGCTGGATGACTGATGCCTGCTCTGTGTTTCATTTGCTCTGTCCCACGTATTTTGCTCCATTTGACAGTATGTCTTTTGAATACTGACCTCAGCCCTATGGAGGTGTATAAGGTTTAGGGGTTCCCTGTGATTGGCATGACATTTCTCTTTTGACTACTATTTTATAAGCCTATGAAGTTGGAGAGAATGCAGCTATGATAATTTAGGAAAATATAAATTTCTTTCTGTAAAATTTGGGGGTTGCTGGGTGTGGTAGCGCATGCCTTTAATCCCAGCACTTGGGAGGAAGAGGCAGGCAGATCTCTGTGAGTTCAAGGCCAGCCTGGTCTACATAGTGAGTTCCAGGACAGCTGGGGCTACAGGGAGACCCTGTCTCAAAAAAGACCAAAAAAAATTGGGGGGGTTCAACCTTTTCTTAAAAGTCAAGATTCAGATGTTTAAAATTTCAATTTGTTAAGATAATTCCTAAAATTACGAGAGGGAACTGTTTTCATATTTAGCTCTTCATAGCTTCTGGCTGGCACACACATGTGAAGGAATATCAGGGATTCAGTCTGCTCCCGGGCACACTTCCTCATCAAGGGGAAGACATTAGTGTCTTACTTGAGGGCTTACTCATTTGTTTTTTATCTTGAGGTTGATGAGTAAGTGTTCTTTTCCTAAGGAGACTTCAAACATATACAACCTCGTCCTCAAGGTTTTGGCATGGAATCAGATCTCCTCTACCAAAGCCACAGGTGATCTGAAGCAACCGTGAGCACCGCAGTGGGAGCCTGTTCTGACTCCCACTGCACGAAGTGGGAAGTCAAATATGCACGAAGAACTTGAGGAGTAAGCTCTGGTGCCGATCTCCTTAGTATATCTCCTAGGCAGAAGGGAATGCCTTTTGAGAGCTAGCTTGAATGGGGCATCTATTTTTAAAAATATTTAAACTTATATTTTCTTTATTATTTTTATTTTATGTGTTTGAGTGTTTGCATGAATGTAATTCCACCCGTGTTGTGCAATGTCTGCAGAGGCCAAAAGAGGGTGTCAGATCCCCTAGAACTGGAGCTCCAGACAGTTGTTAACAGCCATGTGGGTGCTGGGAACTGAATCCAGGTTCTCTGCAAGAGCAGCCAGTGCTCTTAACCACTGAGCCATCTCTCCTGAAAAGGGCATCCTTTTTGGAAGCAGCTGAAGTTGGCTTTTAGCCTACTTTAGAGCCTCTTATTCTGGAGAGGGTCTTCTGAGGGTCTTGCTATGTAGCCTAGGCTGGCCTGGAACTGGTCCTAAGGGGGCTCAAATTTGCTATGCTCCATCCTCCATCTCCCAAGTTCTGGGACTACAAACACATTCCATCACACCTAGGTAAAATGTCTCCCAAGTTTATCTGAGTAACTCCATATGTGTTTTAAAGGTACTTTGGTCAGTGAAATTGGTAAATGAATTTGGCTATTTGGCACACATTGCTCCAAGCTGAGACAGATAAAACACATTTTAAAAAACAAAACACACTTACTCATTGGACAATTACTTTTAAAAGGGGGACTGTAAGAAGGCAATAAGTCATTTATTTAAAAGAGTAATTCATTTCTTTTACCATTCAGCCTCATTTTCAGCTCCTCAAATTTCTATAAAGTTGTACACAAAATCCTCAACCCTAAACACCCACTGCAGAGATTCCGGATGCCTCTTGCTAGAGAAATGAACATCCTCTTCTTCTCTTATGTAAGTGTATTGTTTCTCAAACAGGTTGGCAGCACTGCGATGGCGTGGCTGGGCTGCAAGACAGCGTCCTTGTCAGCCATGTCTCCTGTCATTCCTAATGCTGTCTGGTGTTCATTCAGGAAGATTGCTGCTTTCCTTCTCCCTCTTTTCAGTTTCCTTGAAAGGAGGGTGCTGACTATGGATAACACATGACAGGCATTTTGGATGGTATACTAGAGTTTCTTCAGACATACTTAATTTTAATTTTAAAAGGAAGAACTTCTTGGAGAACACACACTTTCTAATGATGACAGTTAAGAGGAAGCAAGTCTTTAGAAGATTAAAAATGATGGAATCCGCTTCACTTGCTTTAATGAGACTACTGCTACATACAGTATTTTACGCATTAAAGGTCTACCTTATATATCCAATACTACTTAAGTTATTCAAAAAGATAGAAATGGACGGAGAGCTTCCAAATTCCTTCTATGAAGCCAGCATCACTCTAATACCAAATAAAGATACTACAAAAAAGAAAGCTATAGACCCATATCCTTAATGAACATAGATGCAAAAA